ATCAACCTAGAGGTGTAATGAATCCATTTGGGATCAGATCATGTCTAAAGCCCCAGTGGATCCAATATGTCATTTCTTTTATACTGCTATGAAAAAACTAATACTATAGGCATAGTACCATAGGAACATTTTTGATCTGACATGTACACCAATTTTATTTCCCTCTGCCCCTAAAATATTCTGCTCCAGGATACCAGCAACTATTTGGGCCTGGAATTTTTCACTGGTTTAAAACCATGAACGTGTCTATGAAGTTACTGGGTGAGTTTGAGATTCACATACAGTCCTAAAGGTTTCTCATTTCTTTTCCCAACTCTCTGATTTGAATCAGTTCCAAACATTATTATAATATCATTTTTCAGAGCTCTATAAATAGATGGATTCCCATTTCTCCTCTTAAGCACTATTTACTAAATGTTTTGGCCCAAAACTTTAGCCATTCCATATAAGCATTAATCAATATAACGGACATTAATGGTTACTCATTCAGATAAAATTTATTATTTTTTCTTTGTTTATGGGGAAGGAGGCATGTTGCCTCTAAACAACAAAGATGAAGGTTCTTTTCTTCTCTTGCATGAAATGCAAATGATGAGGACACGTGTGATATACATTTCTCTAATGTCAGGCTGTTGCTTTTGGTTGAGAGAGAGAAGCAAGGCCCTGGAGGATTTTAGACTTTGTAAATATAAAATTATCTGTCTTGGTGTTTAAAAAAAATAATAAAAGGGAGAAAGAGTTGGCAGGTTGCCAGATTACTTACATTACAGTAATAGATTTGCTGACCCCTGACTTCTGCTGTGGAGAAATGTATTGAATTTTTTATAATATCAGATGAGGCAAATCTAAAAACCTAGTATACCGAGCACCACTATTTAACTTGAGATTTAGCAAAGCTAAAATCTTTTCAAACCAGCAATTTCTTGTATGATGATAATTTACTGGCTCAGACACTAATAAACCAAGGTTATAATGCCATTGATTTGTTAATTTTAATTTGGGTTGATTTTAAATCTTTATTTAAAAAAGAAGAAGAATTAGGAGAAAAAAAAAAAACCTTGCTCTTCACAGTGACTGAATTTAATAAGAATCTCCGTGATAGCAAAAGACTCCCCTACTGTTTCTGCTTTGGGGTGGAAAATGTTATTCTTGTACTATTCCTAGGGAAAAATAAAATCTCATGCTGCTACAAATCTTATGCCTCTGAAAAGATGTTATTTTTTAATACATGACGGCTAACCTATTTCAGATCCATTAATGGCATCATAAATAAGCATTTTGCTAATCTGAAATGTGAAATCTGGATAAATGATAAAGACCTATTTATCTACCCAGCTTTCAATCCCCAGACTAGATGTAGATTTGGAGGGGGAAAATGTTTCTGGATTTACCAATGAATGTATTGCTTCTCTTCTCCATACTTCCACCCATCTAAAACTCAGCCTGAATTCTCGGAATCACAGCCCGTTGAAAATATTCCTCCTGTGTAATGAATTCTTGGGGGCTGGGTACATTTTTGCTTTTATCTGTACAGTTTAGAAACTGATTAAATCTCTGTTGTACTACAAATATTTGAGGAATAATCATCTGCAAAGCATGTTATACTGAATTCTTCATACAATACACACCTACACAGCTTCCTGCATTGGGCAATGTTGACCTTCTATGAGCTAACCTCTTTTTAATGTTACCGCATGTACACTGAATGTTTAAATGTTCAAAAATCTATAATAGCTTTCGCCCTCTTGTACTGCAAAAACATCTAATAATCAAATGATAAGATCATATCCTGTGGGGTAATTGTATTGTACCATGACAGGATAACTGAAAAAACATTCAGTGAAAATCTCACCGAACGGAAACCACTCTATGAAGCAGTGATTGTTTGTGTGCCGTTCGAGACCATGCCCTGTTCTTCAGAGTTTAACTGCTGCCTTTCTTGTTTTATTTTGGGAGCCCTTTTTTCCCCAAGCCACTATAATTATCTTTCAGTGATTTAGAAGGGAAAAAAAAAAAAACATTCAGTTGACCTTTACACACACACACACACACACACACACACACAGCAGCTTCTGGACGCCTTGAACAAGCAGAGCTTGTGTTTGGATTCCGTTTTACCTTAGTCATGCCTCTTTCCAGATACAAGAAACATTTAATTCCAGATTTCCTGCTTCTGGCTTTAGGCCTTGACCAGCAAAGTAAAATGTATTTTTTACTGTTGTCAGTCTGCCAGCTGCTCAGTTGAGTGAAGGAAAGAAAAAAAAAAAAAAAAAAAAAAAAAAAAAAAAAAAAAGCTAAATGAAAGAAAAAGGGAAGGAAAAAAAAAAGAACTGAAATAAAAATGTTACCTTGCCTCATGAACTTGCAAAATTGTAAAAGGAAGTGAAGATCTCTTTAGAACCCATCTACGGAGCAACATTGGCCCAAGACTGTCAGGATTGAGGGTGAGGGGCCATCGGAACCCCATTGGGTATCTTTCCCACCAGTTCTCATTTTTCCTTATTGCCCCACACCCCTCTACCAGTTCCTCACACAGAGGTAATTCTGTCCTTCTTTTCAGGATAGAGGGTCCCTCATGGTGTCACTATCTTAATTAAAGAATAGAGCTGGGGGAAGGGCGGTACCAACAAACGGTAACTGTTGGAGCGCCCAGGCTCCCAAGCTCCTTGTGTTCCCATGGCAACAAAACAAAAGTAAAACAAACCTATCTGTCCCAACGCTAAAATATGTTTTCATTAACATCAATTTGAAATATTTTTCCAGTTTTAAAAATATCCAATGCATTTTTCTCCTGGACAAAAATCCCCAAACTGCTGATATTGAAGAGGATAAAGTCCCTGGCAAAATTATTCAGATAAAAGGAATGGAGGGGGGATGGGGCCAGGGATTGTACAGATGAGACAGAATACATTCAAGTATGAACAGGATTGCTTTTTTTCTCTCTTCTGCTTAGTTGTGCTTTTTATTATATAAACATTAACTGTAATATTACAGTGGGAAGCAGGTATTTGGCAGCCATATATTATTTTAGTAAGTCTACATAGAGCACTTTCCAGTTTTAGCAGCTGTAACATGTTTGAACTCAGTTTGTAATGGGATCTGAAGATAACTATTCCCCATGGGCTGTGTTGATCTTCATGGCTGGCCCACTGCCAGATGTAGGGCTCCAAAGTATTATTCATGCCTCCTTGCACATACCTTGTCTGAGCGTGCTCAGTAAATGCATTTTGTTTTTAATATACTGGAAATTGGAATTTGATTTTCCCACAAGTTGTTGGTATATTATTAAAGAATAAAATATTATGATCACAAATGTCCCCAAGTCCTTAGTTTCAAACCTGAATAGTTGTGCGTGCTTAAAGAACTGAGACCCAAATTATATAGTTAGAGCCAATTTCAGGATAACTAACAAAAGTCTAAATCACAGAACTTTTTGCCTGGATTTCTTAGTTTAAAACTAATTAGGATTCCCAATATTTGAACAGATTTTAATTGTTTATAAGCCAAGTACATTTTCTTCATTGAGTCAACTTGTCTTATTTAAAACAAATTATGTTTGCTGTATTAAAGTTCATATTTTTAAGGCCAAGTCTTGTATTAATCCCACAGTGAGTCATTAATCATACCAAATGCATTATAAAAACTTTAATCACTGAAGTTGAAACTGAGATTGTAATGCAATCCATGCCTTTTAATTCCATCAGCTCTTTTTCCCGTTCAGATCAAGAGCTGAGTCGCAGAGGGAAAACAGATTAAAACCAGAGCTGTTTGATGTTTCTCTTTTTAGAGCAATTTTATGCACTTTGTTTAAAAAGTTATATAATTAAAATGGTTGAATTTTTCAGCGCTCTGATTTTTGTGGCTTCAGTGGTTGCTCTGCTTCCTTCTTGCGGGAGCCCTGTTTTACTCGGTGCCCAAAACAGACCCCCTTGGGTGGCACTACCTGCTCTACAGCATTAGCCATTCCAATCATGCTGTGTGTCTCCCTTGGCCCTATGGTCTTAAGTGTTGGGTCTACATTTTGAGATGAATAAAGATTAAAGAAAAACTGGGTATAGGTGCAACCAGATTCAAATTCTAGCTGTAACAAATGGTGTGACTTTTAGGCACATTATTTAACCGCTGCGGTCCTCTACGGTCTCTTCTGCCACAAAGAGAATAATAATAATATTCCTTAAGAATATGGTAGAGATGATATGAAACGATCTGTGCCATGTTCCTGTCTCTGTACTAGGCCCTGGTAGAATGTAAACTTCCTGAAGTCAGAGGCTTTGAATGCTTTGTGCACTGCTCTATCTCAGTGCTAGGATCACTGCCTGGCACTCAGTAGGTATGCAATAAGCACTTGATGCAGTAAATGAAGGGCAGCTGATCCTATTGTCGTGCTGTTGTTGGAACTTAGCCACTCGCTGTGGGCAGTGATGATGGTGTTTTCAACCTTGTTTGCTTCCACTGGTACCCTTAGTGTACAGATCCATGAAACCAAGAGGAAGTCTGTTTTGCAGAAAAATATTAAAGTGACCAAGAATGATTTTCACCAATGAAGTAGATCACTAAATTGTGATTCAGTGGCAATTATGTCATTCAACAAGCAGTTTGTACAGTAGTCCCCCATATCTGTGCTTTTGCTCTCCATGGTTTCAGTTTCACAAGGTCAGCCACAGTCTGAAAGTAAAATACGTTTGTCTTGACTTGTTCAGGAGAGAGGGACCACATTCTCCCAATTTTCATGACAACAATTTAAAATAATTTTTCTACAGTATTATTAGTTGTGGTTGATAATCTCTCACTGTGCCTAGTATGTCAAATGAAGTTTACAAAAGTATGAACGTACAGGAAACAGCATAGTGTACTTAGGGCTGGGTACTAAGCTGCAGTTTCGGTCATCCTTCATGGATAAAGCGGGGGCTACTGCACTGAGAAAAGAAAACAAACGCCTATAGTATTGAAACTACTGGAACGGCTCAGCTCATTTATTATCTCTTCTGTTTTCATTTTAGATTAATCCTACCTTATGAAAGGTTTATTAAGGGAGAGGAAGATAAGCCCTTGCCTCCAATCAAACCTCGGAAACAGGAGAACAGTTCACAAGAGAATGAGAATAAAACGAAAGTATCAGGAAACAAACGCATCAAACATGAAATACTTAAGAGCAAGAAAGAAAAAGAGAATGCACCGAAAGCCCAGGATGCATCTGAGGTCAGTTGCTGTGCTCCACAGGGATGCCGCCTCTGTGAGACTTGTCCTGCCTGGTGGTCTTCTGGAATCCGCAGATGGATCCCTGCATCCTTCATGGCTAGACTGAGAAATCACAACCTCTAAGATTAACTGGGCACAGTGCCACATACCTATAATCGGAGCACTCTGGGAGGCTGAAGCAGGAGGATCACAATTTGAGCCCAGCCTGGGCAATTTAGAAATTTAGCAAGATTCTATTCCAAAATAAAACATTTTAAAAAGGGGCTGAGGGTGTAGCACAGAGCAGAGGCTCCAATTTCAGTCCTCAATACTGAAAATCAATCAATCAATCAATCAATCCTCCAAGCCTCACAGTTCCTGCAGTAGCTCCCTGATGTTTCTAAACTCTTCCTTTTTTGTGCAGGAGTTGAAATGCAGTGCATGGGATAAGATGGGGGATGAGGCGGGGTTGGATGGGATAGGATAGGCCAAGAAGAGAATCTGGAAAGATGAGGATATCATGTAGAAAACTATTAACAGATGCTCTCAGTTTAAGAGAGGGAGCCGGAGCTGCAACTCTCAGAAGGGATTCCACTATGAAAACACGGCTTCTTGAGCATTTCATGGCCAGTTTGTCTGAGTAGTCAATGTGCCTTTGGGGGTCTTGGGAAGAGGTCATTGAAGTCACTGTGCTGTGTCTGTGCAGGATTCTCCTAAAAACTTTCAAGATGTGTTTTCCTGCGGTAATGGGCCTCTCTGTGCAATGGCCCTGGGTTAAGACCACGTTAGCAAGATCTTAAGTACATATTATTTATAGGGGAATTTTGCAATGGTTCCTCTGAAACCATCATTATCTCTCATATTAGCAGGTAGTTTCTGAACCTTTTAAAACAAGCCTCAACTACCCACAGCCCCCAGCAGTTCTTTGGTTGAAACCTTTACTGTTGGTGCACAGACAGCTATGGAGGCTGATCTGGGCTCTGTTTCAACATGAATAATAAAAATACCCTGCTGCCCATAAAAAAAATAAAATAAAAAACAAAAAAGACTTAGCAGCCACATTTGGAGACAGCATGTTCTAGGATTCAACCCCCAAGGGAATCTTGGTGCTGATATTAAACACCCTCTAAAAATCAGGTTTATAATGAACACATAAGAGACTCCCTAATTAAATGCTGAGTTAAACACACACAGACACACACACAGCATCCTTCTAAGTAGATATCAACTTACCCAACTGACTTCTCTATAAGAAGATAGTATTAATACCGAGAGGAAAAATGTTTCTTTCATAAGTTTTATAATTATTTTAGGCTTACTAATTTAAACGGAAGGAGAAAAAAAAGATGATACAGACTGTAAACATGTGCAAGTTTGCAGTTTAAATGGCCAAAAGCAAGAAAATTCTAAGGCTTACTTTCTATTCTTCTTTTATCCTGTTGGCCTGCTGATTTATTATAGGGATTTGGATCACTGAGTTCTATTAGATACCATGTATACGGTGAGGCCAAAGTACCAGGGGGCAAGCTGAGGTCCAGGGGGCCAGCTGACCTTGGCGTGGCTCCATCTGGGAGATAAAGTTTAAAAGGATTGGTTTGTGATTTGTGAGAAGATCCACAGCACGTGTGCTGAGCCCATCCTCTAGGGAGACAACCACTCGCCAGGCCTGGATCCTTGCTCCCCAGAGTAACCCCAAAGCTGCTAGGCTCCCTGTCTCGTATAGGGCCCAACTGTTCCCTCAGAGATCGAGCATTTCAGAGGTTGTCACATGAGGTGGGTCTAACCCACATAGATTCACCCACCTTCTTCAAGGTGATCTGGTAAGAATTGCTCCTCACCTCCAGCAGAGACCCATGTTATTAATCATTGACTGTTTGGGGGCTTGGGTTTAGACTTGTCATAGTTTTCATTATTTAATTTTTGATGCTTTTGACAAGAGGTCCTGAGCCAAATGGGAAAACCCACTATCTTCAGGTAACAGATTGTACAGGGGAAGATATTTTACATTTAACGTACTAAGGCTGATCATAAAATGCCATCTCAGAAAAATGGCTTTTTACTTTTTTTCAGCTTAGCTCTCAAAGACTCCCCGAAACCTGTTTTGCAGCCAGGAGCGTGAGACTCCAGCAAAGCTAAAAACCTTGGCTGTAGAAATTTCAGTGAGGCTAAGTGTTCCCCGTAGTTCCACTTCAAACCATAGCCTCATCAGAAATTAATAATTAAATGCAGTTTGCCTTTTCACTTGCTTTATTCATTTTTCTGTATTTTCATGTACTGTATAAGCTCAAGGGACCAATGATGATTCTTAATATAGTAAAATAATGATATTTGTACTGGAAAAAGCAGTTGTTAGTGGAAGAGTGGGGAGGGATAGGCAGAAGCTCTTTGTATAACATCTCTAGAAAGCAGAGGTATCTTTAAGCGGGTTTGAGGAGCTATAGCACTGAAATGGGAGTGATTTCCTTAAGAGGTTTGTCCTGTGTATCCTTAAACTGGCATCATCAGTCTTACTCAAAGATGCTAATGAAGTCATTATTTCTTTTCTCAACAGAGAACAAAATTGAAGAGATAAGACTAGGGCAGGAGATGGGGGACCAGCTCAATACAGCTGTTTCATGACTGTTCCACTAAGACACATCAGGACAGAGTGACAGTAATTTTGAAAAGTCTTGTCAGTTGGCTGGGTCACAGGTGGAAAATTAAAATGACCTGTTAAGGTCAAAGCTTACATGATTACACGATATAATATAATAAATGGGAAGAATTATGCCCATGACTTCTGTGAATAGGGACACATGCAAAGGATCTGTCAAATTGAGTATAATTTATTTCAATGAACAGAAAAGCTGTATTTTTGGTGGCACTTACTGTCTGAATTTTGACAATTTTGTTTTTAGCTTTAATAGAAATATAGTTTGCTGCAACCTAGGAGGACTTAGAATATCATCTATCCCTCATGTAGATAGACTACCATTGCTTCTGCATACTTTAATATTTTAGTATTATCTGCATCTTACTCAGTCTTGTGGCACTGAGTAAAAATTATTAACACTTAAGTATCATTAACTTTCATTGCATCATATTGAACATATTAGGATGGGATTTTCTCTCTCAAAGAAAGGCAAGGAGTATAGTTTGTTGTTGACATGGAGTTGGTTGGATTTTTGAAAGAGGTGCTTAAAAAATCTTTCCCAGAAGTGTCATAAAACACAACATGTAATTTAAAACCCATTTGGATAATTGACTGATTTGACAAGAAGACAACCTTAGAATTAAATTATATATTAGAATCAAGGAGTAATGTGATTGGATACCATCAGTATACAACACTTTGCTATTTTGATAGGTGTCTCATAAGGGATATATGCATATTTCCCCTGTTTCTGTAATTTAGGATTCTTTGTTTAGAACCATGATTGGGGAGTAATAAAGCCTTACAGAAACTCAGTGAGCTGATTGACAAGCCTGTTTTCAAGGAAAAATGCTATGTGTAATTTTTTTATTTCCAGCAAAACATGTCAGCGTATTTGGTTTTCTTCTGACTGTCTTTTGAAATGTTTTATCAGGTTTCATCAGAGCCCGAGAAAGAACAAGAGTCTTTAAACCAGAAAAGCAGCGCAGAACCTCTTGTGGCAGCAGATGTGAAGAAAAAGGCAGAAGGTTACCAGGATTTTGCAGCAAGGTCCCTGGCATCTAGAACAGACCCAGAGAAGGACAATGAAACAGACCAAGGTTCTAACAGTGAGAAGGAGGCTGAGGAGGTGGGCGAGAAGGGGCCTGCAGCTCCATTCCCCAGCACACCCCTGGCTCCAGAGAGGGACCCAGCCCCCATCCCTGGGGCTGGCAAACAGTCCCTGGCCTCTCCTGCTGCCCCCGTGGATACAAAGCAGGAATCCAAATCCTGCTGTTTTACAGAGAGCACTGAAAATGACCTCCAAGATGCATCCTTTCCTGGCTTCCCCACCACGCAGCCACCACTGGCAAACCAGAATGAGATCGAGGATGACAAACTGCCTGCAATGGCGGATTACATTGCCAACTGCACTGTGAAGGTAGATCAGCTAGGCAGTGACGACATCCACAATGCACTAAAGCAGACCCCAAAGGTCCTTGTGGTCCAGTCATTTGACATGTTCAAAGACAAAGACTTGACTGGGCCCATGAATGAAAACCATGGACTGAATTACACACCCCTGCTCTATTCCAGGGGCAACCCAGGCATCATGTCCCCACTGGCCAAGAAAAAGCTTTTGTCCCAAGTGAGTGGGGCCAGCCTCTCTAGCAGCTACCCCTACGGCTCCCCACCCCCTTTGATCAGCAAAAAGAAACTGATTGCCAGGGATGACTTGTGTTCCAGTTTGTCCCAGGCCCACCACAGCCAAAGCACTGACCACATGGCAGTCAGCAGGCCATCAGTGATTCAGCATGTCCAGAGTTTCAAAACCAAGCCCTCAGAGGAGAGGAAGAGCATCAGTGATATTTTCAAGCATGACAAACTGAGTCGATCAGATGCCCACCGCTGTAGCTTCTCCAAGCATCATTTTAACTCCCTGGCTGACTCCTATGTCTTGAAACAAGAAATTCAGGAGGGCAAGGATAAACTCTTAGAGAAAAGGGCACTCCCCCACTCCCACATGCCTAGCTTCCTGGCGGATTTCTACTCCTCCCCACATCTCCATAGCCTCTACCGACATACGGAACACCACCTTCATAATGAACAGTCATCCAAGTACGCTTCCAGGGACGTGTACAGGGAGTCAGAAAACAGTTCTTTCGCTTCCCACAAACACCAAGAAAAGCTCCACGTAAATTATCTCGCGTCTCTTCATCTTCAAGACAAAAAGTCAGCCACAGCAGAATCCTCTACAGATGATCAGCCAACGGATCTGAGCCTCCCCAAGAACCCACACAAACTGACCAGTAAGGTCCTGGGCCTGGCCCACTCAGCCATGGGGCCCCAAGAGAGCAAGGGCATCTCCCAGTTCCAGGTCATCAGCAGCCAGAGTCGAGACTGTCACCCCAAAGCCTGTCGGGTTTCACCCATGACCATGTCGGGTTCTAAAAAATACCCCGAATCACTTTCAAGATCAGGAAAATCTCACCATGTGAGACTAGAGAATTTCAGAAAGATGGAAGGCATGGTCCATCCTATCCTACATCGGAAAATGAGCCCTCAGAACATTGGTGCTGCGCGTCCCATAAAACGCAGCCTGGAGGATTTGGACCTTGTGATTGCTGGGAAAAAGGCCCGAGCAGTGTCTCCCCTGGACCCGGCCAAGGAGGCGTCCGGGAAGGAAAAGTCTTCTGAGCAGGAGAGTGAAGGCAGCAAGGCCACCTATGGAGGGCATTCTGGTGGAGGATCAGAAGGCCACAAGCTACCCCTGTCCTCCCCAATCTTCCCAGGTTTGTATTCTGGGAGCCTGTGTAACTCGGGCCTCAACGCCAGGCTCCCAGCTGGATATTCTCACTCTCTGCAGTACTTGAAAAATCAGGCTGTGCTTTCTCCACTCATGCAGCCTCTGGCTTTCCACTCGCTTGTGATGCAAAGAGGAATTTTTACATCACCAACAAATTCTCAGCAGCTGTACAGACACTTGGCTGCGGCCACACCTGTAGGAAGTTCGTATGGGGACCTTTTGCACAACAGCATTTACCCTTTAGCTGCTATAAATCCTCAAGCTGCCTTTCCACCTTCCCAGCTGTCGTCCGTACATCCTAGTACAAAACTGTAAACCCAGCTCAGTCCAGCATCCCAAACCGGCATGGCTCACGGAGCGTCACATCCTGCTTGGAGTGATGGCTCCCAGAGTTGGAAGCCAGTATTTCTTCTAATCTGGGGATACAATTAGTCCCAGTCATCAAGGCCAATTTTTCTGGGACAGTTCTAGCCTTGGATGGTCAGTCTTGACCCCCTTCCAGTACGGATGCCCTCGCACCTCCAGATCATTCACTTCATACGTGGGTCTTGTGAAGGGATTTATGCATATCCAGGAAGAACTTAGAGGACCCCAGCTGAGTTCAGATGGTCAGAAAGCAATCTGGGCCAAAAAAAGGGAGAAGGCTTTTCAAAGGAAGGGGCAAGAAAGACTGGCAAACACAGCCAAGGGATGCCCCTCTTTTCATAAAACTCTCCAAGTTTCAATCAATGCAATGTATAGTGAATCTTCAATAGATCTTTCATTTTGACACTATTAAAGAAACCAGAGAAGTAAACACTGTTAAATTGACTGTATATATTTGGTTCTTAAACTACCCATATCACTGTTTGCTCACCTAATTTATATACAGGTAGTTCCATTTTCTTCCAGTTCCTTCTTGTCTTTTTTATTTTTTTTTTTAATTAAACAATATCGCTTTTGTTTGCAGGTCTTTTGTTTTTGTTTTCATTTTGATTTTTGTTTTGTTTTAAAGGCTGACTAACTGTCCTAGTTGTCATTGTGTATTTGTAATTTTTCCACAATTTATCATTTTGAGCAGCTTTGGGTGGTAAAGTTATTGTTTACAAATTGAAGCAACTGATTCTAGTGGAACAAATGAAAAAGAAACAGTTGAGCACACAATCGTGCAAAGAATGTTCCTTTGCAGATCCGCAGCTTACGGAATTTTTTCCTCATAAATGGCATAGTTGAAAGAGCTTATGCACTGCTTACCCGGCCAGATGCTTTGCTTTGAAGTATTGGGTGATGTGAAAATATTGAGCATTGTACTTACCTTATCTAGGCTGTGAAACTGTCCTACATACCAGACGAATCATAAAAACAAAAACCTCACTGGCAGCGAGCTGCTGAATAACAACAGAATCTAGAGGACATATTTGTGGGCTGCACAGATATTTTAGGAATTTCAGAAATTAGAACAGGAGCCAGAATGACTTACATGGGTGTTGGCACTGCTCCATTTAAAGTCTGGGATAGGGGGTTGGTCAGAGGACGGAGCTCGACCGTCCAGCAGAGGAGGAGCGGCTGGAGGCCAGACCACCGCAGCTTCCCTGGGCCTCGGCCTGCTGAGTCGTAGGTAGTCACAATGCCTTCATCAGTTGGTTTCTTGTCATTCCCGAGAAGACTGTCTCCGGGTTACATCTCTGGGGACAACTGGCATACTGGATTACCCATTTAAAAGAAAGGCATCCTCTTGGGCTTGTGGGGTGTGGGCTTTGTGTACACACACACAAGGAAGGTGGTTTGTGCCATGGTTTTTTTACACACCTAGCAATACCATCCACTTTGACTTCTTTTATTGTTGTAAATGAATGGTCAAGCTATTCAAGCAGTCAAAAGATGTGGAGAATGCCTATTGTCATTCTGGGCACTTTATTCCATTTGCTCCCAAGATGTAACATCAAGATGGATTCGGTTTTTTGAAAAGGTATTAAGAGTCCATGGAGTGGATTTTCTTCCCCATTCCTGCCCATCCCTGCTGGAGACTGCTTCGGTGAACTCCTTAGCCCATGGTCTCCCTCCCCCAACACTACCAGTAGACTTTAGAACCATAGTTAACCAAGTCTTTTACCTCTGAGATATTTAAGTCTATGAATATTGATGACAATTTTCAACTTCTAAATAGGTAACTTGACTGCAAAATAAAACCAATAATGGTGAAACTGCGGCTGTTACACAAAGCCATGCATGCTGTGCATTGATATTGAAATGTCTCCATGATATGAAGCCAAATATTCCATGTAACATACTTAATATCCAAAGGTGGAAACAGAAGAATGTAGAGATCCAGTGTTAAGAGTTCCATTTGCTTCAATTATTTAATAGAACCATAGATAGACTAGTAGAATTTAGATTATAAATGTGTGAGTGCAGATTATCCTGCTATTGCACAAGAATGGGGGTGGGGGGTAATCTCAATTCCAGCTGGCAAAATGCTAGCCAGGACACGTAAGAAAGTTGCACTAGATTGAATGGTCACAGAATCGGAGGACGTGGAAGAGGAAAACTTGGTGGCTCTGCAGCAGACATGGACTAGATCGGATGTGGTTTTTGAGTTCCTTTCTCAGAGAAAATGGGGGCTGTCTATCCTCTGTGGAGTTCACCTACCCATTTGTAATATGGGGCACTTGTTTTCTCCACTGCAGTGATTTCAGCCTGGTTTCATCATGTTGGAATTTGATCACACCATTTTTCAAACAATGTTAACATAGTTCAGCTTTTGTTTTTCTCATCTCTTCCGAGAGGAGACTCACTGTTTCGGTCTGAGGAAGCTCATACCCTCGGCAGAACATCAGGACAAATAAAGAGAGATGGGGGCATACATTCCCAATAGAAGCAGTGTGTTATTTGTTTTAAAACTCCAAACAGAGATCTTGGATATGTTTCAAAAAGACCATTGAGTTCTTCATTGGCTGAGAGCTACGTTTTAAAAAGTCTTAAATAGGGCTTTGTTTGCGTTGTTTGAGTTCAAGGGGCCTTATTATTGAATGGAATTGCACAAGCCTTTCTTTGTGCAATCAAACCATTGTTATTGGTAGCTCTGTAAAGGAAACTATGGAATCTAATTGGCAGTGGAGTCATAAATCTATTTACTGAGTGTGGCTTCCAAGAAATGTTGCAATTCATAATGTGCTAAGTTCGTGATTTATTGGAAATTTGGAGATTCCAAATAATATTTTTAAAAATCCTTTTCCTGCAACTTCTGGTCTAACTTTTGAAAACTCAACATAAAAAAAAAAAAAGCCCAACCAAGTTTCAGAATTAAGTATTCTCTTAGTGATTTGAACTTGTAGTGTTTGCCACAGGACTGACTTATTTATTTACTAGCTAGAAGCTCTTAAGTTCACTTGTTCATCAGGGCATAGACAGAAGGGTTTGCTAAAACTCAGTGTGGACTTTACAACTTTCTGACCTGGTGCATGAATTCTCAAGTACTGTATTTCACTGTGTTAATGTGTCAGATGGAAATTTCAAGGTGGTTCCACAAAAAATATTTTATGTAGTGTGCCTTCAAAGAGAACCATTTATTTCTCTTCACTGTTGTCTCACAAAGTCACATTTGGTGATGGTCAGCCAAGTCCCATCTGGTCTTATTTTACCCTTGTCCCAATTTTAAAGAGAAATGGGAACAATTTCGCCCTGGTGAGACCCACACCATTGCAATGATTACCTTGAGCACTTAAACTCCAGTGTTGGCTGTTGTATTTGATATTCTGCTTGTCTCCCCATGGTTGAAATATGTCTGAAGAATAGCAGCATAATCTCTTGGCTGTTTATACTTTTTTAAACTTTACGGTGTTGTAAATATTGTATACTTTTGGTGATTCTGGCTATGTAACCTCTATGCTCTGTAAGGTGATTATTTGTATATAGCAACATGGCCCAGTGATATTGTATAGTTTCCCAATGGAGAGGTTATTGAGTAACCTTTGCATTAGTTCAAACACTACCAGAAGAATGCTGAGCCAACTATAAACACTCAATTTTGTATGTTTTCCAAATTGTACTTATTACTGCTTTTGATACTGTATTATGTGCCAATAGTTTCCCAATCACATAGCAGGCAAGAGATATTTTGTACTTTTTGATCCACTGTAATATTTAATAAAAAATGTTACTATCTGTTTCCTCTTGAGTGCTTGTCATTTCTTCCTGAGGAGCTCCATGGCCTCACCAAAGGACTTTGCATTCCCTTAGTGTCTAAACTGGGTAACAGTGATGATGTCAGTAGTTCACAGAGAGCCTACTAGATGCGCTATTAGCACACATTCCCTTCCACATTCACAACCTCATGTGACAATGGTTAGACCCATTTTCCAAATGAGAAAACTAAAGAGAAGTAAATCAACCAGCCCAAGAAATGGCAAAGTCGAGGTTTGAACCAGGACTCTTAAATCTGTGCATTTCCTTAGGATGCCACATTCCTTTGCTAGCAGAGTGCAAAGTTCCTGCTTATTTATGCAGTCAACAAAGATTTACTTATGTTAGGAACTGGGAATATAGTGGTAAGTAAAAGATAAATATTGTCTCTAAAGTTTATAACTTTATGGGAGGGTGTTAATCAAAACTTTAACATGACCTAGTTCTGAAGGACGCATAATGACTGAAGTGACACATAAAGAGGAAGTAGTAACTACACTGATAATGAAGGGTGAGCATGAGTTAATGAGGCAAGAGGGAACTGGGAAAGGAGTGACTCAAGCACAGGATACCACATATGCAAAGGCCCTGAGGCAAGAACAAGCTTGGCTGCTTACAGAAATTGAGAGGAGGAAAACCTGTGTGGCAGGATTATAGGATTGAGGGAAGGAGATCAGGAGATGTCACGAGGGGCCAGCAGGGGCCAGCTGAGTAGGTCTCAACAGATCAAAATGAGCATTTTAGTCTTTATCCTAAGCAATAATAGATGTTTAAGTGAGGAGGTGATGTGATCAAATTTGTCTTTTGTATCACTTTCTAGCGCGCTGCTGTGTGAAGGCAGACTGAAAGCTGTCTAGTTTCAAGGTGGTGGTCATGATGGGACGGGGAAATGGGAGAGTGGACGCATTTCAGAGGTGCTTAGAACGATGAACAGACTTAGTGATGTGTTAAGTTGATAACTGATGGCAGGATGTTCAGGAAATGTGGAAAATATTCTTTATAGTCTGAATCTATGTCTTTTATTCCTAAACCTGTTGGTGATGGGCAAAGACTTCTGACATCTCTTTCCTTTAACGCTCTGTATCCAGCTTCCCTCTAGTTTATCTCAGCTTATTAGTAGTTCCAGTAATGGCATTTGCAAAGTAGTAGGCTCTGTGTTCCCTTTTTAATGAGGCCCAGGGATGGGAAGGAGGGACAGGGACAGGACTTTGGTAGAAATTCTTGGCTTAAGACCATGACACCTGTCCAGGATAGGCTTGGAGTAGCAGAAGAGAGCAAGTTGTTAGCAAGCATGGCACCACAACCCTGGGAGGAGGAAAAAATGCATTTTAGTAAAAGATACAGGGCCCTTTTCCTTATTGTGGTTGATTCTCTGAGGAACTGCACCCCACCCCCAAGTCCCACACCATCAGGAGATGTTACAACATGTTAGGAGGCTTGTTGTCTTCTTCCTCTTTTTTTTTTTCTCATACCAGAGATGGAACTCAGGACATTGTGTTTGCCAAGCAGGCACAATACCACTGAGCTAAATCCCTGTCTGCTGAGCTAAATCCCCTGCTACCCCAGCACCTGACAAGCACAGGAGTCCTTAGCCCTGCAGTCCTTTGGCCCTTAATCTGTTTCGTGTGTATTTCACCTTATTGGTGAAATTCTCTGACCACATCAAAACACTGTCCTTCCATCTCTGACACATTCACCATTCGTAGACCTGATACTTGATTCATGCGCTACAGAAAACATCATGATAAGTTA